TAACATTAAAAATTAGAGATATACTTTCTTCATTTTTTTCTTTTGCTAGGAAAATATACCATATGAATAATAAATAAATCTGTCATTTCTTTAAGGATTTTCTAGTGAATGGGTCCATTTCTATAATATTTCAAAGAGCCAAACCATACATAAATTCTAAAAATCAGATGATATTTCCTCTGCCTAGAGGAAACTCACTCACTTTTCTTTCTGACACTGAAAATGTTTCCCTGATTTTTCCTTCATAGTAATAGTAACACCTCCCTCTTTAAAAATATGTGCCAATGATTGATATTCTGACCAGTCATACCACAAATCAAACTTTTTGTTAAAGATAATTTTGGTTTGACTAGAGATATGACTGATTGAATGTAAACTATCTGAGGGCAGAAACCTTGTCTATCTTTTTGTATAATATCACTACTATCTAGAAAGTGCCTGGCTCATATGTGATCAACACATATTTATTTGATAGATTTACACTCTGTCATTAAATAAGAAAAAAGAAAACAGAGGCTAATACATTTGAAAGAAATGTACTTGAAAATCTGACTCATAGTTAATTTTCTTCTACATGAACTCTAGAGCAGCAGCTGTTTTAATTGAAAGATAATGTGAGACAAATGAATAATTTTAAAATTTCTAGTTAAAGTTAAAGAAAAACTAAAATGTTCATCAGTAATATTTATGATATTTCAAATTTAAAGTATGGGAAAAATCTAGATTCATAAACCATTGTGTGTATATTTAAACAGTTTACTAATTTAAATAGTGTAAGTTGATTTCTTTCATTGATGATTTGTAGTTTTCAGTGCACAAATCTTTAATTTCCTTGGTTAAATATTTTATTCCTTTTTATGTTATTTTAAATAAGATTGTTTCCTTAATCTCTTCTTTGGACAGTTCATTGTTAGTGTATAGAAACACTACTGATTTTTATATATTGATTTTGTATCCTGTAACATTACTGGATTCGTTTATTATGTTTAACAGATTTTGTCATATATATATGGCAAGAAATAGGCAAGAAAATAAAATTATCTCTGTTTGCAGATGTCATGATTTGATATGTAGACGTCTACATATCAAATCATGACATCTGCAAACAGAGATAATTTTATTTTCTTGCCTAATTACTCTGGTTAGAACTTCCAGTACTATGTTAAGTAGAAGTGACAAGAGTGGGCATCCTTGCTTTCTTCCTAATCTTCAAGAAAAAGATTTTAGGTTTCACCCTGAGTATGATATTACCTGTTGACTTTTCACATATGTCCTATGATGTTGAGGTAAATTCCTTCTTGAGCACTTTTGTGTTTATTGAAATACACGAGTTTACAATTGAGATGAAAATAACTGTCTTCCTTACTTCTATTTGGGATAAAATATTAATTTCTTGAAGTGGACACATAGACCATTTGTAGTGTGCTGATATTTTTGTGTTCTAATGTGATAGTTTTGCTTTAAGCTGGAAAAAATGACTTATTAGAATAGTACTTGTTATTTTAAAAAGAAAATCCTCAAGTTTACTTGGATTGCTTAGGAATTTTACTTTCAGTATTATATGCTTTAGGTAAATGTATAACTAGCCCAAATCCATTTTCTTCTATTATTTCCATGAATAGAGCAAATACTAGATGTCTCTAAGGAAGCCAAAGTTTATTCATAGAGTAAATATTTTGGAGAAAAGTAACACAGTTCTAAAATTTGAAAGCTTAGAATCACTTTTTCCCAATAAACAGTGATCCCAAACAATGACATCTGGAGTGCAAGTCAAAACATTTGTAGCTAATACTGAAATGATTGATTTGGGCTTTATAAACATCTGATAGCTATTAAATGGAATTGGTAGCCTTAAAAGTGGTGAACTTTCTATAATAAAAGTGCTAAATGTAATAAATGGTAGATTTCTGCATTTGATGGGAATAATATAAAGTGTCTTTTTAAGTCTCTTTATATAAGATGTAATGAAAAGTAACATATTACCCAAGCATAAGTAAACACAAATTTAATTAATTAAAAACAAAATTATCATACTTAAACATAATTTTTAATAATATGTGTGATAACTGCTCTATATACATTATTTCATTCATTTATTACAACAACTGAACAAACTGAGTTTCAAAAGAGTTTAGAATTTGCTCAATTACATTAGGTATAAAGTTTGGAAATGTATTCAAGATTCTCTGATTCCTAAAAGCAGCAATTAATCTGTTTCTTATCTTGATTAAACATGAGGGAAGCTTATGTAAATTTTAGAAATAAAACTAAAATCTTTAAATAAAAAAAGGGCAAAGAAATGTGGAGTTGAGCATACATGTTATCAATTTGTCCTCAAAAGATATGAGGCCCAGATCATATTAATATAACGTATAAACTTGGGTCAATCCCAGAATCTCCTTGAAACTCAACTTCTTCCTCTAGAAAAAAGAGGTATCTGTCATGTACATAAGATTTCTGTTTGCAGATCAATGAAATAATTTATGTGTTATGTAGATGTAAGGAAATACAGTTATTATTGCATAGAACCTAGGAGTGAAAGACAAAGCATTTGTTCTCATTAAGATACTGAAATGTGCTTGCCTTTTTTGGGATGGGAAAAAATGTACTATTTCATCTCTTCTCTCCTTAACTTACTTCTGCCCCCATTTTAGAAATAAATTTTTATGTACAGAGAAGTGATTTGAATGTCACCATAATGTCTATAGTAGAGGAAAAAAAACAAAACAAAACACCAAAATGGAATGCAATAAATTTTCAAGGAAAGAAAAAAAAAAAAAGAACATAACTGATTTTAACACCATCTATTTCATTATATGTTAACAGGATGTTATCTAACTGTTAAATACGGAAGTAGAACAGATACACTGGCGCTGATAAATAATGGGCTTAGGGCAGAAAAAGTTAATACAAAATAATAAGCCAATTATATAGTAAAATAAAGCAATATATAACCACTTTCTTGAGTAAATGGTTTACTACTGGCAATACACAGTGGGAACAATGGTGTTTTATAACACCCTGAAAGGCAAAGGAGGGCTGACTATTGCTTTATAATTAAATAATTAAATGGCTAATGAAGGGATGTGGTCAGCAAGCAATTTATTATTGTAACCGGCAACAAATATCTGAGATTTGAAAATTATCTATTTGATAAACTCATGCTGTTTGTGCAAAGAAAGAAACAAAGAGAGACATAACTTCATTTTGAGAAAAGTGAGGTGATTGGCATAGACTTGACTTAGTAAAGGTCTCCAATGCTGTGGGGGAGCACAGGTAAAAATTCCAGTCTTTATCAATAGCCCAGGTCATGACTTCTCTGATTCCAAGGAGAAGGTGAGCAAAATGTTGGCCACAATCATAATGCTTTTTAGGTGAGTGCTATCTTATTTTGGCACAGGAACCTAACATTATGGTTAAAGCACAGGCTCTGGAAGCAGAAGAAAGTTGAATCCTTATATTGATTGCATGTTTGGTGATTTCAGCTAAGATTTTTTGTTTTCCCTCAGCCATATCTAAGAGGGTAGTATACGTATCTACTTTTAAATTGTGTATGTAAAATGTTTGACAAAATACAAGTATCTGTTAAGTTTTAAATACAGGACAATAGCTATTTTTATTACTGATTTTATTTACATATTTTCTACATTCTTATAATGATTCTACCTTTTAAACCATCATGCTCCTTGGTGATAAGTATGATACTATATGTTTCATCCATATCTTTTAACTAGTGCTTAAAAATATCTCTTGAATAAATGAATGGATGGATAGAAATTATTTGAAATCATATTGTAAGAGGGAGATCTGTGTAACATTATATATGTAAAATTTAAGCCAAAAATTTTTTCAGAGCCTTTATCTCTAGTCCAAAACTCCAGAAATATATGATGTCTTTACTTAGATCTTTCTTTGTGGCAAGGTAGGTAAGACTGAAATTCTGTAGAAAAAGCATAACTTCCATGGGATGAAATTGACTCAATATTTGGCTCCTTAGATATACAATATAAATTATATACATATAATTGTATAAATACAATTTATATTGGCCAATATATACAATTGGATCTGTATATATAATATATCTACAAATTATTTCTACAAAGCCTTTGTATATAAAATACCTTCCTTTGTATTTTATTTTATTTTTTTAGACAAGCATGAAAATGAGGTCTGTTGAGGAGATAAAGAAAGGAATATAGGGCAAGAGCAAGATATAGGTTTACGGAGCATAATACATACGTCATGGATGATGTCCAGACCCATTGTTGCAGCAGGGCAGGCAAAAGGGAGGGCAAAAAGTGAGCAAGCCTTCCTTTTTAAATACAGCAATCTATTATTTCAAAGATATGTCATTACATATTCTGCAGACCTTTTTTCAAGTAATAAAATATGATTTCATTTGTGTTATACGAGCAGTGTATTTCGGAGAAGGAAAATCAAAACATGTAAATTCATTAAATTCAGATGTTTCTTCTTCCAAACTAACCATTAAATTAAAGAGATTAATAAAATAAAATTTAAATAGCATATAATTTTTATATGTATTTCAGCAGTGAAATTTGATATAAATCACCAACTTCCTCATGGTATTTTCTTTTTACATTTTATAACCTTCGCTTATGTTCATTTGGATAAATTTAGAAAGCTAATGCCTCATTTTATGTAGCAGAGGTGTAAGATTGAGTAGAAACCTTGCTAATTATCACTTTCCTGATCTACACACCTGATACTTCTTGTGAGCAGTTTTTAGCAAATATTAAAAAGAGGTCATGTATCAAATAATTATTTTTGTATTTTCACATTTAAGTACAAATTTGCAAATATATGTGTGTATTTAACATTTAAGAAAAAACTTTTAGTGTATGTATTGCATAATGTCACTAATTAAGTATAATAAGAAATGAACTACTAGGAAATATTTTGTATGATATTGCTCTATTTTTTTACTCCTGTCCACCACAATACATTTTCATATTTATTCCCAAAACTTTCTACAGGGCTCTCTAGGTGGCCATTCCCTAGGAAGATGTCCAACTGTAACCCCAAAGAAACTTGCCCCAAGGAGTGCTTCAAGGTAGGTCTGCCTTTCATTTTATCTTTGAAAATAAAATATTTAAACAGAAAGGGTGAAGAAATAGATATTCATGTGTATATGTGGTTTGCAAAGATTTTCTCTCATTTTGTAAGTTGCCTTTTTCTTTTGTTCATTATTCCCTTTGTTATGGAAAGCCTTTTCAATTTGATGTAGTCGCACATGTTTATATTGCTCTAGTTGCCATATTCGGGTAATCATTTCCAAGAACAACATCATGTAGATTTTCCCCTAAGTTTTCTTCTAGGAATTCCATGGTTTCAAGTCTTAAATTGAAGTCTTTAATCCATTTTGAGTTGATTTTCATGTATGGCATAAAATAAGGATCCAATTTTATTTTTTGCATCAGGATATCCACTGTTCCCAACACCATATATTGAAGAGATTATCCTCCCCAATGTAGATTCTAATCTTGTTGGAGATTAGTTGACCATGTATGGGTGGGTTTTATTTCTGTGCTTTCTACTCTCTTCCTTGGTCTCTGTGTCTGCTTTTATGACAACACTATTCAGTTTGATTACAATAGCTTTGTAATATGATATGAAATTAGGAAGTGTGATGCCTCCCTCCCTGCTCAAGATTGATTTAGCTTTTTAGTGTCTTTTGTGGTTTTATATGAATTTGAGAATTGTTTTATTCAATTTTTGTGAAAAGTGCCATTAGAATCTTGGTAGGGATTGCACTGAATTTGCAGATTGGTTCTTGTAATATGGACATTTTGATAATATTGATTCATGTGATCCATGAGCATGAGATGTGTATCTTCTTCAATTTCTTTCATCAATGTTTTATAGTTTTTGGTGAACAGATCTTTCACCTTCTTGGGTAAGTTTATTTTTAAGTATTCTATTCTTTTTGATACTATTGTAAATGGAATTATTTCCTTAATTTCTTTTTCATATAGTTTATTGTTAGCATATAGAAACTGAATTGATTTTTAAATGTTCATTTTGTATCTTGCAAATGTACTGAATTCATTTATTAGTTCTAGTAAGATTTTTATGAAGTCTTGGGTTATACACACACATGCACATATACACACATGTACACACACACATATATATGATCATCTCACCCACAGAGACAATTTTATTTCTTTCCCAGTTTTGATGCTATGAATGAATCAATTAATTAATGAATTTGCCTAACTGCTCTCCTAGAACATCCAATAGTATGTTAAATAGAAGTGGCATGAATAGAAATCCTTGCCTTATTCCTTATCTTAGAAAAAAGGCTTTTGGTTTTCTTACCATGAGTATGATATTAGCTTTATATATGACATTTATTTTGTAGAATATCATGTTTTAATTAGAAAAAACTTCACACAAGCATTACAAAGATATCCAATGTAATTATTTTAAAATTGTATATGAAATGATTTTTCTTTTATTTATATAAAAATTTTTGTACATTGCTAGAGCTGTCTTTTGTGGGGAAAAATTTACATCTGTAGAGAATGCAGCCAGTTCTATCCTTTCCCAATCTAGAAAGGATTAACTGGTCATATAGGGAGAATGGCCTATATCAAGAAATCCCAAAATAACAAATGCTGGTGAGGATCTGGAGAGACAGGAACACTTTTACACTGCTGGCGGGACTACAAAGTAGTGCAACCTTTGTGGGAAAGAATTTGGAGATACCTCAACCATCTAGAAATAGAAATACCATTCGACCCAGCAATAGCATTGTTGGGCATCTACCCAAAAGAGCATAAGACATTCTATTATAAAGACATCTGTACCCTAATGTTTTTGGCAGCACAATTCACTATTGCATGGTCATGGAAACAACCTAAGTGCTCGTCAATTCATGAGTGGATAATTAAAATGTGATATAGCTCACAATGGAATATTACTCAATTCTAAGAAACGACAGTGAGCTAGCACTGTTTTTGCTATCCTGGATTAAGCTTAAGCCCATTATAGAAGTTAGGCGACACAAGATATGGAAAATGGGCTCCACGTCTACTCGCCATCAAATTGGTACTAACTGATTAAAACTATGGTACTCAAATGTGGTAATGTTCACCAGGGATTCGGGGGAGGGGAGACACACATCTTAGGGATGTGGCGAGCATTGTGGGGTGGAAGAGCATACCTCTAACCCTTCTTTGGGAGAGGCAAAGATATACAATGTAGCCAAAATGTCAAAAACAACAACAACAACAAATAAAACTTTTATTGGGTGGTGGGTTGGCGGGAGGAGGGAGGATAAGAAGGGTGCGGTGCGCACCACCTAGGGGTTGGACACGCCTGAATCTCTGGCACGTCGGGGACGGAGAGGTGGCAGGGGCAATATATGTAACCCTAACAATATTTGTACCCCCATAATATGATGAAATAAAAGGGGAAAAAAAGAATTGGAAAGTGACAATCAGGGTTGGCATCATATATCAGATAAAATGAAGGTATTTAAAATAGTGAAGATTTGCTATAAATGTAATATTTGGAACACTTAAAATATATTCAATACTATCTATGGAATTTATTAAACTTTTAGCAATGTGTGAAGATAGCTAATAAAAATCATAGAACATTGTCAGTCTGATATCACTAAAGTGATATTCTCTTTTTAATTCAAGGATGGTGGGCTGTGATATCATGTTTGGGTGATATAAAAAAATAGTCCTCTTGAATTGCTGCATTGTGGTTAGACAATAATCAAAAGCTAGAGAGACAGAGTGTTTTAAGGACTCGATGAATCACATTTCATAAATTTGGTTCAATTATAAATGTCTAAGAAATAACAGCAGCTGGGTGTGCCATACAGTTACAAACAATGAAAGCTTTTTCTTGTTTGTTTTGTTTTGTTGTTCTAAGCAACACTTAATGGAGAACTCGTGTCCAGCAATAAAGTTTAATAAATACTTCCAACACTGCTAAACTAGCAACAGTTGAGAAGCAATGGAAGAAAGGGTCCATATTATAATCATTATACTGCATGAAAATCATAATCTTAGTAGCAAAAGAATAAAAAGCATAAAATATGTGGACACATATATGTGCAAATAAACATACACTCATGCACATAAAATTTTGCATTTATATTGTAACATAAAAGGTGTAAAAGATTAATGAAAAAAGTGTGCTGAGGCTTAGCTTATTTTTTTAATTGGAATGAAATCTGGTTGTACCACAATTTTCATGTCAAACTGCTTTTTCTTCCTGTTTACATTTTGCAAGAACAAGAAGCCTCAGCTGGAAAATTGGCCCATAATCACAACCTATTAAGCTTTTACTGATATTGCAATAGAAGTAATGGGTTTTTAATGAGCTTATCTATTTTAACATTTATATAATTTATTAATTTTTTCCTCTCTCTATTTTGTATATTAAACTAAGAAACTTAGGTTTAATAATATTCTTTACTGAACTCTTGAATTCTCAGAGTTCAGTAATAGCACTATTTTAAATTATTTTTGATACTTTTATCAAGTATACATAATCATTTATAGAACTCCATGTACTATGAAGGACCGTTCATGTTAAAAACTGGTATCCTACCTGTGGCACAGTATCTGCTTTATACAGGTATACAGGTAGCATTGGAAGGATATCAGCTTTTACAGCAATAAAGGTAGAATTATTTTCTTCAGAAAAGTAAATTTAAAATATTACACATTGCATGAATTTTTCCACTCTGAAGGCTGAAAATCTCCACTGGGAGGTAAAAGCATGGCAATAAAGACAGAATAGATGTTTTGACTGTGCTGATGTTAGAGAAAGTAGCAGGAGAGCCATTAAGTTGGGGATCTGGCTGGGGTAATACCTGAGGTAGAAGAATTGAAGATAAATAAGAAAGCATGAGGGACCATGGCAAAGGGCAGGCAAATATAATCTTTTTCTACAGTACATTTTATTCCAGTGGATGTGATTACCAAACTCAAAGAAACAGTTTGGAAAACTTTGGGTATTAGCTTATCACTGTCATTTGGAGAACAAATTATTGATATTCCAAAAATTATATTAAGGGAGTTGTAGTTAATTAATGATGGGTAGTCTTTTGAAGAAAATTTGAACTGTTTTACCCCAAAATGTGAAACTGCCCTTTACAAATTAATGAAGGGGTACAAGGCAAGAACCGCAGTAAGGGCCTAATTTCTGCAAAGGCACAGGCATAGTTAAAAATAACAGTAATGATAACAAGCCATAGTCCCCTACTTTGCTTTGCTATAATTGCTACTCTGGAATTACATAGCTGATGGTCATAAAGATACTTAACTTTTTCCATATGTTGGGTTTGGCAATCTCATTCTGTTTTCTCAGTTCTTGGTGTGCTCTTGACTGAAGGATGACCAGACACATCAAAGTAAGGCAAGCATGAGGTGAAATTTATTGAGGGGGAGCAAGATAGGATTGTAGAACAAGAGCAAGATATAGGCTTACAGAGCAAGATACATATGCCACAGATGACGACCAGACCCCGTCATAGCAAAAGAGACCTTGCTTATGGTCTGTGTCTTGTTTTATAGTGTCAGGATAGGAACCTCCCCGTGGTTCAGATGTCACCATGGAAGCACTTTAATGGACAGTTGGGAGTTACATGACCTGAATCTTACTGCACATGCGGATCTCCCATGAGCCTCTCTGAAAGCCCCTTTGACATGATAATTAGCCTTAGGTTGTCCTAAGTCACCTTTCCAACTCTATTGTATTTATGCCTCTTGGTCCTGGGCTAGAGAGTCCTCTGTATTCTTTTGCAGTTGGTGTGCCAAATTCTGATTATTAGATTGGTAGAGCGTTCCCTCCTCCCCCAGTATGGCAGTTGCTCAGGACAGGATTAAGGTGGAGTAGCACCAAGATGGGGCTCTGGGGCCTGCTCTTGTCCTTCTTCCCAGGTGGGGCAGTTGCTCAAAGTAGCTGTAAGGCAAGACCACTTTCATCCCTAGAAGACCCAGAATCCCTTGCTATCTGCCTAATACATAGGTAACATCCCCCTTTTGAAACCTAAGGGTATCTTCCAGGCCCTGCATTTCAGTGGAC